TAATACATTTTTTTCAAACTCAATTCATCTCTTTATGTCTTTATTTCTGACCCTAACAAGGCCACAATAATAATCTACAATTCTGAACTGAACCCTTTAATCAACAGGGGTAGGCTATTCTTGTTCCGCTGCCCATGTTTAAGGACATCTATTATAGTTCCTATTTTTAATACTACTCAGTTATTGCTCACCCTGTCTCCAGTAAGTCCAAGTAGTCACTGGTCGACCTGGGGATTGAACTCACATTTGCTATGTCAGCAAATTTACGAACCATGCTTAAATCCACTAGGCTATTCTCTCGTAGCATTTAGTAACATAGTAATATGAGTTTAATCTCTAGGCTGGTCATTTCGACTCGATGGAAAAGGGCGAGCAATAAATAATCAGTACTAAAAATAAGATATCCCTAAATGTGGGTCGTGGAACGAGAACAGTGTAGATTAAATAAAGAGTTCAGTTTAGAATGCCCTGTAGATTGCCAAGATTTTTATACAACTATAAAGGCCGGAGGAAACAAAAGGCCGACATGTTGTGATAAAACAATATAGATGAGGACAGTTCGAATATAAATAGTGTAAATAATGATAAGTCCTCATTCCAGAAATTCAGAGAGAAATAATATAAAATATACCTCTCAAACAAAATTATGATCACCTGAAGATGGCCAGATGGTATTTGGCCGTAACGCTTCATTTATGATAACATCTATAATAATAATAATAATAGTAGTAGACGAAAACCTGTTTTGCAAACATTTTTATTAATACACTTATTTATAAATAAGTGGGTACAAATGAAATGATTTGAAATTGACAACGTTACCATTTCACTGAAACAGACGTTAAACACTTCTTTCTTTCACTTTCTTATTGAAACCAAGTAGCACCTCTGATATGTCTCTTCCGTGTTTTCACGCGGTCAAAACGTTATTGTCCATTATTAATAAGGACTTTGCAGGGCGTAACGGTCGTACGAACTAACTAAGGAACTAACTAAAGATGGTAGGGACAAGCAGAATTATGATAAATTTTATAATAATAATAATAATAATAATGTATCAGGATGCACAGCGATAGCGCCAATTGAATATAAAAGTCTGGATGAGAGAGTAGGCCACTGCACTGGAAAATACGACACTTTTACGGGAAGGAAACTGCAAGAAACTGGTATGATTATCACCCAGACCCTGTTACAGAGATAGGGAACTGTACAATTTTATGGAAGCTTATATTACATACAGAAGGACCAATCAAAATGAATCGTCCAGACATCGTGATCAAGACCACAAAAACAGAATGTGCTTTCTTATTGACAGGATGGTCCTTACAGATTGTAGTGTTTCTTTGAAGATCTTCAAAAACTATAAAAATACAAGGATTTTGAAGTAGAAATCTGAAAAATGCGGCGCATAAAGACATAAATAATTCCAGTTGAAGTTTATTGGAAAATCTTCCGATAGACTCATTGAAGGGATTCCTGGAAGACCATGCCTTAAAATCATTTAATATATATAATAATATTTAAATATTTATAGTTACAGTTGAAATACTACGAAAAGCCTTATCTATGTAAAATGTATGTGATCTTTGGTTTTCTTTTTGTTTTTGTTTTTTACAAAAATGACTTGTGGAAAATGTCACCAAGCTATTTCTTAGGCCTCTGGTTGAGAGCTGGAAGAAAATATGCATACAACAGAAATTCAATGAAATACTACTACTACTACTAATAATAATAATACTAAAAATGCCAACATATTTATAATAAATCGTATAAATTAAAAGTATAAGGAAAAATCCTTATCTCAAACATCAAACAATGGATGTTTTATTGTCGGTTTTGAAACCGCTACTAGGGGACGCTTTCCGGAATATAAATATTTGGCAATAATTTTTTATCACTCTCTTCTTAACTTTTCTGCTTGCACGACATGTATGTCCCTCGCGGAAGAAAGCATTCCCTTTTGGAAACGCATGAACAATACATACAAAAACACGTACGTGCGCACATTCACTCACTACGCATACTACATTCATTTGACACCAACATCTTTGTCACTTGTAACACTTTAATGTTAATATATTATCATTTCTTTGTACATATATCTGGGTTCTTGTTGTTTACTTACATTTCTTTACGTGGACTCACATCCCGACTTTGCCATGTTTATTGTTTACATTCCAGGAGAGATACGTATTTATCTCGCAACAGTATTAGTAAAATTAACTGACTCTAGTTTCGCCTCTGACCGGACTTGTTTAGAGGGCCTCATGTGACATTCTCAGTTAGTCGTTAAAGAATCATTTTCAACACGTCCCTACACAATAGTATGTACTTGATGTCGGAAATTGTTTGCTTGTTGTGTTACTGGTGGGTTTAAAATACAAATAGAGAGAACATTCAAAGCAAATCGACCAGACATCGTGATCAAATATCACAAAAACAGAATGTTCTTTCTTATTGACATGGCAGTAGCTGTAGATAGCAATGTATCTTTGAAGATTTAAAAATAAAAACACTCTAAAAAAAACTCTCTTTTTCATTTATGGTAACTACCTTTCTACTTTAATTAAAGTATTGCTGTGTAAGTTTCTATATTAAACAATTCTTTAAATAATGGTAAGCGTTTCTGATTGGCGATTAAAATAATTTAAAAGCCTCTGTTTTAATGTTCGAGGCTATATCACAAATGTTTATATAAACCTTTGGAATACCGGTATGAATTACGTAAGTATCAAAAGATAAAGCTGTCTCGTTTTTGCCGTCTCTTACGGTTTTCTTTTATGTGTCGTGTCTCTTTTGAATCTGGTCGATCAAGTTCTCTCCACAAATTCCAGTCTCTGGTGGTTCTAAGCGAGGTTTGACTCGTAAGTCGGCCACAATTTGTCGGATTGTTTTCCCTTGATATATTTCCGTTGTACTGTTGTCAGTTTGTTATGGGAATAACATTTTTATGGATATTTTCTTATGGGTCATCAAAAAGAAGTTATAGCTTCTGGAAAAGTTTATACAGTGTCAACAAATTGTTTTCGAACACTAGCTGAATCATGTATATTTTCTTCTTTTTCTATGTAGTGTTTACCTTCGGAACGTGTTCGATCATAGCTCTCCACAGCTTCCTATCCTTTGTAGCTGTTCGTCTTTTATCCATTCATCTAGGGTTCCTATCCATTTACAGAAGATCTTTATTGATGTTACTCATAGCTCTCATATTGTCTTCACTATACCCTGTCAATGTCAAATTCTCCAGGCCCAGTTCCTTCATTATATGCGATGTAAATCTCTACCGTCACTTTGTGAGTCTAAGTAAAATTTCAATTGTCTTTTTCTGATTCTGTATATGTGTCCTTTATTTTCCAGTTTCTATAAAACTTCCTTCTTACTCGCATGTTCTGTCCATGGTATTCTCAGCATCTTTTAGTTGAAGTACATTTCTGTTGCTTCAAGTCTCATCTTCATCTGTGAGGAGATTGTCCAGCATTTACTTCTATATAGAAAGAAAGATATTACTTAATAGTTCAGTACACTTTTCTTTGTTTCCAGCGAAGTTTTCCTGCATCTCAAAATTCTAACCTGGCACCTTTTTCTTCTTCTTCTTCATAAAGTAGGCGATCATGGCTCTCCCATATTTCGTGTCCTTTGTAGCTCCTAGTTACATTTGGTATCTCTCCCAACCTCTGTTCTATCTCTCTTGCCTTCAACATGTCCTGTAAATGTCAAATTCTCTGTCCTCTTACCTCATGATATCCCCTAGAAATTTCAATATTCTTTTGGATTCTATGTTTGTCCTTTTTGTTTCCAATTTCTCTAAAACTTCCTCGTTACTCACATGTTCAGTCTATGGAATGGTTAATGCAATAGGAATATGTTTCGTTAGAAGTATCAAAACATATTAAGTCTCTTATTTATCTGTGAGGAGATTGTCCAGCATTCCCTGCTATATGAAAGGATCGATAATACATATCAATTCAACACAATTATCTTTGTTTTGAATTAAATAGTCTGTTTATTTCTTTGGTTAGCTTTTAGAAGGCAGATTTCGTTAGCCCAATGTGCTTTTAGGTTCCAGTGTAGCATTTTTCTACATCTGTTAAAACATTCTCCAAATATTTAAATATCGTCTTGAATTTGGTATATCCTGGGCTGGATGGTACAGAGGACAAGAGGGGGTCTACCTGGTGCTGGGTACTGGACATCTGCGTCCAAGAGAATTGTGTACTAGACAATTGCGTCCCTGGACATTTGCGTCCAAGAGAATTGTGTACCAGACAATTGCGTCCCTAGACATTTGCGCCCAAGAGAATTGTGTACCAGACAATTGCATACCTAAACATTTGCGTTCAAGAGAATTGTGTACCAGACAATTGCGTCCATGGACATTTGCGTCCAAGAGAATTGTGTACCAGACAATTGAGTCCCTGGACATTTGCGTCTAAGAGAATTGTGTACCAGACAATTGCTTCCCTGGACATTTGGGCCCAAGAGAATTGTGTACCAGACAATTGCGTCCCTGGACATTTGCGTCTAAGAGAATTGTGTACCAGACAACTGCGTCCCTGGACATTTGCGTCCAAGAGAATTGTGCACCAGTCAATTGCGTCCCTGGACATTTGAGTCCAAGAGAATTGTGTACCAGACAATTGCGTCCCTGGACATTTGCATCCAAGAGAATTGTGCACCAGACAATTGCGTCCCTGGACATTTGCGTCCCTAGACAAATGGTCCCTGGATAATTGCGTTCTCTGACAATTACTATAACCTTTGACCACAAATGTAATGCACTGTATTCATTTGTGCGACCGAACGGGGGAGGGCATAGGATCTAAGCAGCGCATGATTTCCATATACCATCGCCTAAATGACTGGCTTTTGACAAAAAATGGACCTTACCAATGATCGGATTCCAACATACACAATCGGCTCGTAAAGTGAAATGAGCAAGTCGGGTTCAAGTTGCGATTGATTCTCTTTGTTTACTTCGTATTAAAGGTCTTGGAAAAGCCATGCATCTTTCTCCAACTGCATTTGTCTTGCATGGTAAAGAAAACCTCTTTATTCAAAACCAGCACAAAATCCGTCAGCGCGTCCAGTAAATCTACGAGCCTAACGAGCCACGGCTCTCGTGAGGTAACCAAACGATATGTCACACAAATAATTTGTATACAAACTAATTCTTAAGTTTCATGGGATAATAATCTCGCAGCTGCGATTACAAATGGAAATTTAAAAATAAATGAAACACCAGCTACCAAATTAATTACTTTGAAATTCGTTTAATATTGCAATTAACACTATCAGTGTATGGAAGGTAAGCTAGCAAAGTTTTCGATTAATTGACTTGTTTTTTTTAAAGCTCCTCGTTGGTTATGTAAAGTCTATATATAATTTAGATTATAAGAGTTTTTTGCCAATGAATATTGCACTAACAAATTTGGTGAATAAGAATAATTAATCCAGATACAATCTCTAGCATTTAACCCATAGCTCGAAGGAAGGGGATGGATTCATATCTTTTCCAAGTGTATTTATGCAAAGTGAATGCAATGAATTTGTACTCAGCTCTCCAATTTCTCATTTGGAGTCACTATCCATTACAACACTCGCACATATAGCAGGCGTCAATAAAGAATAAATTCTCTTCTTCAGTTTTCGAATAATGAGAATTGAAATCTTGCCGTGGTCTTTTATTCAATAATGCTTAAAATCGATTTGTAATACATGTTTTCATTTCGTACCTGCTTTCATTGTTTTTTTCTTTCTTTAATAGCTCTAAAAGTTTTTTTCATTCCACACGTGCTTTTCTTGCTTTCTTTTTTTCTTCCTTTTCCTACATCTGTGATGAATATTTTAATCCCACACCTTATTTATTTCTTTCTTTCAACACCTATAAAAACTGTTTTCATTCTACATGCATCTTTCTTTTTTTTTTCTGTCTTTGGCGACATCTGCAATAAATTCATTCCACACCTGAATTATTTATTTATTCTTTCTTTGGCTACAACTGTAATAAATATTTCCATTCCACACCTGATTTCTTTTTCTTTCTTTCTTTCTTTCTTTCTTTCTTTCTTTCTTTCTTTCTTTCTTTCTTTCTTTCTGTCATACCATATACCTATTCGAATGTAATGGACTCTCCCATAGACAATAAGTAGTAGTAGCGGTCGCGAGTTCGTCTCAATGGGGTTGAGGTAGTCAGTCGATATCGGACATTGAAGTACCAAACATCACAACTAGATTGCTGCGTCATTAACTCTTATTTTCCAAGTTCCTAACGCTTTGTACGTCGAACCTAATTTAGGACGATTTATTAAAATACTAGCCTCCACGGTGAAAAATACTCCACAACATTTTCTTTCTTTCAACCTCTGTAATAAATGTTTTCATTCGACATTTTCTTTCTATCTTTCTTTCTATCTTTCTTCCAACTTTCTTTCTTTCTTTCTTTTTTCCAACATGTGTAACAAATGTTTTCATTCGACATTTTTCTTTCTTTCTTTCTTTCTTTCTTTCTTTCTTTATTTCTTTCTTCTTTTCTTCTTTCTTCCAACATCTGTAATAAATATTTTCATTCGACATTTTCTTTCTTTCTTTCTTTCTTTCAACGTCATTTTCTTTTTTTCTTTTTTTTTCTTTCTTTCTTTCTTTCTTTCTTTTCTTCTTTCTTCCAACATCTGTAATAAATATTTTCATTTTTTTCTTTCTTTCTTTCTTTCTTTCTTTTCTTTCTTTCTTTCTTTATTTCTTTATTTTTTCTTTCTTTCAACATCTGTAATAAATTTTTCATTCGTCATTTTCTTTCTTTCTTTCTTTCTTTCTTTCTTTCTTTCTTCCAACATCTGTAATAAATGTTTTCATTCGACATTTACTTTCTTTCTTTCTTTTCTTCCAACATGTGTAACAAATGTTTTCATTCGACATTTTTCTTTCATTCTTTCTTTCTTTCTTTCTTTCTTTTCTTCTTTCTTTCTTTCTTTCTTACAACATCTGTAATAAATGTTTTCATTCGACATTTTCTTTCTTTCTTTCTTTCTTTCTTTCTTTATTTCTTTCTTTCTTTTCTTCTTTCTTCCAACATCTGTAATAAATATTTTCATTCGACATTTTCTTTCTTTCTTTCTTTCTTTCTTTCAACATCTGTAATAAATGTTTTCATTCGTCATTTTCTTTTTCTTTCTTTCTTTCTTTCTTTCTTTCTTTCTTTCTTTCTTTCGTTCTTTTCTTCTTTCTTCCAACATCTGTAATAAATATTTTCATTCGACATTTCCTTTCTTTCTTTCTTTCAACATCTGTAATAAATGTTTTCATTCGTCATTTTCTTTTTTTCTTTCTTTCTTTCTTTCTTTCTTTCTTCCAACATCTGTAATAAATATTTTCATTCGACATTTTCATTCGACATTTTCTTTCTTTCTTTCTTTCTTTCTTTCTTTCTTTCTTTCTTTCTTTCAACATCTGTAATAAATGTTTTCATTCATTTTCTTTTTTTCTTTCTTTCTTTCTTTCTTTCTTTCTTTCTTCTTTCTTCCAACATCTGTAATAAATATTTTCATTCGACATTTTCTTTCTTTCTTTCTTTCTTTCTTTCTTTCAACATCTGTAATAAATGTTTTCATTCGTCATTTTCTTTTTTTCTTTCTTTCTTTCTTTCTTTTCTTCTTTCTTCCAACATCTGTAATAAATATTTTCATTAGACATTTACTTTCTTTCTTTATTTCTTACAACATCTGTAATAAATGTTTTCATTCGACATTTACTTTCTTTCTTTCTTTCTTTCTTTCTTTCTTTCTTTCTAAATATCTGTTAAACATTTTAACTCACTAGCTTATTCTGTTCTTTTGTCTCTATTTCTTGATCAAACGCTACTAATCCATTTAACATAACGTTTGTACCTATTTCTTATTTTTCCCTCTATTCTGCATATTTATTCCGTCTCAGTCATTTATCCTTCGTTCTCATTTTCTAGCTTTTACTGCAATTTCTTGCCATGCTATAGGCATTATTTTTCATAATATCTTTAATTTCCAAGAACCATTTACATGGGATTTTTTTAAAACTCTATTCCTCCTTCCCAAAATTCCATTGATTTTTTTCCTTTAATAAGCAATTACTTCCACCATTGCACCGATATTTAATAGGACCTAAATATTATATCTCCTATCAATTCAGTGTTTTTTCCTATCGAATTTTCCTGTATGTTACTTCCGGTCAGAAATGTAGATTGACTGACATTTATTTTTTTTGCAGACGTTCCATTTAGCGAAAAATTACGAAACTTCTTTTTCTATTAGTGGATTGTAAACAAAAATAATGTTGTGTCATTATTAAAATAAAAGAGAAAATCGCCCTGTTGACAAGTTAAAAAAAACAAACTTTTAGACGAACACACCAATTTTGCCTTTGAAAAAGATGAACACTACAATATTTGTTTTGAAATAAACAAATCCTTGATGATGGCATTGTGCTATGCCGAAAGTACTCGGAATAAAATAAGATGTATCACCACAGTGATTTTCTCTCTTTCTTTCATAATGATACCAAAATGCTTGTGTGTGAATATGAAAGGATCCAATTGAAAATAAGTAGACAAAACTTGTGGAAATTATTCAATGAAAACATGTTGCCTATATCTATCTATCTATCTATCTATCTATCTATATATATATATATATATATATATATATATATATATATATATATGATAAATAATTTTAAATTATACGATATTTATAGTCCGTTTCGTATCCAGGATAGACCTGCTTTCTTTATTTTCGTATCTATATCCACTAGCTTCATTTTCGAATACATATCTATTAGTTTTACTTTCGTATCTATATATGCTAGCTTCATTTTTGATTCTATATCTGCTAGCTTCATTTTCGTATTACAATTATTATGAGTTAACATAGCAATTCCCATCAAGGATACAACTCTTAAAAAAAAAGAAGATACCAACTCAAAAGCGTGTATCTTTTAAATATTACGTTTATACTAATAATGAAAGAGGTAGGTATTTATCAGTGTGCCCACGTCGTTACAGAGGGTGACACTGTGTCTACGTGTAATATCTGTTCACCGGCCAAAATAATTGAAATAATTAACAGTCGGCACTTCACCTTTCAGACGAGGGCTCAGGCGCTGACTCCAAACCCCATTCGAAGTAGCGATATGACCTGCGGGCATGGCATCCTGGGGCATGAGCTAATATTATATTACAGACGAGCGTATGGTTGCAAGAAAGAAATACGACAACAGCAGAAATAGATTTATGTGGTTTATTTCAACAGGAACAAGAGGGTTTGGGACAGCTACCTTGTAATATAGTTCATAAGCCGGCTTCGGATCTAGATCGATCTCACCTAGTAGTTCACACATGTTGACGGTGGTTGATGCTCCCCTGCTGACAGCTGCTTACCGTGACAGGTCTCTACCCTGGCCACCTGTGGACTGCCTGTTGAACTTCCGTGTGACCCCTTTTATAGCGTTGTTTTATGGATTAACAGGCTCGAAAAACGAAGCGAGTATAATTAGGAGGGACGCATTTTTATTGGACGAAAAATAGAACACTTTAAATATTATTTTATTTTTCGACTGGTCATTTTGTGATGGGATTTTGTCCCGTTCACATCCTGCTCTCGCTCTTGCGTATATGCCTGTAAATCAGCCGAGATATGTCTTATTTGATTTTATAACAATTATTTTCAATTTTCCCGGAAGAAGCCTGGTAAGTATAAGAATGAAAGAGATGTAGTGATTTATTAAGCTTTGCTTAGATGTGGCACAAGGCCGTATGTATGTAGCTCCCAGTGTGGTTCGATTTCACAAATCAGTTGTAATTGAGATAGCATGACAAGCTTGTCAAACATTACACTACATCGAGGTACCCGAATGAAAGAGGTATACCGATTTTCTAAGCGTTGCTTAGCTGTAGCACAAGGCCAAAAATATGGGGTCACCCAGTGAGGATCGAAGTCACTATTCAGTCATAATTGATCTAACGAAACAAGTTTGCTAACCATGAAGCCATATCGAAGTGATTGAGGGTTTTTCTAAGCGTAGCTTCGATGTGGCACCAAACCGAGTGTTTGGGGCACCTGGTGAGTATCTGTTGTAGAGTAATTTCGCAGTGGAGGCTTGTATTTGTACTAGATCGGTCCTAAAATAGGTTCGACGTACAAAACGTTAGGAACTTGATATAATAGGTATTACGCAGAGTAATTTTGTTGTGGTCGCTGACTACTTTCGTATTCGACTAACTGTCGTCCGACATCGACTGACCTGTCGTTTCTCTTACTACTCCTACTTATATTAGGTGGGAGTGTCTATTAACTATAGAATAGGTGTGTTTCACCATAACAGTATCGAAATAGTGAGTCAAGTTTTCTAAACATTACACGACATCGAAGTGCTCGAATGAAAGATGAAGGTGATTTACTAAGCGTGGATTAATTTCGTCCTAAGGCCGAATGTACGGGGAACCGCTTCATTTGGGCACTTCGAAGTGGTCTACTGATTACCAAGATTGTCTTGCTGGATTATTTAGTGACTACGATATGATTGTATTCACTAAATAGTCCAGCATGACAAACAGGTAATCAGTACACCACTTCGAAGTGCCTAAATGATTTTCTAAGCGTAATTTAGTCTTAAAACAAGACCGAAAATATGTGACACCCAGTGAGAATCAAACTCACTATTCAGTCATAATTGATCTAACGAGACAAGCTTGTTAACCATTACGCCATGTCGAAGAGTCCGAATGAAAGGTATAGAACTACATACTCATTGAATAGAATTTTATACTAAAACTATAAGCATTCACGAAGTATCCTCTGGTCATATGGTTTCTGTATAAATGTATAAATGGTCAGGTCATTACATTAAAGACGATCTTGAAGCAAAAGTAATGACAACACAGCGACAGTGATGACGTCAAGGAAAATGAAGGTGAAAGAAAAAAGTACACAATTTAAAAAAAAAAAAAGAACAAATAGAATACATTTAAAAAAAAGGTTAAACTATTGAAGAATTTAAATTGCATGAATCTCACTGGTAATTAATTTTAAAGATAAAAAAAATAGATCTATATCAAGTATACATATAGTATGAGTCCATTGCTTGAGTTCATTGGAATTATGTTTCGTTTTGTTTCTGGAAATGCATGCTGATTTGAACATACAAGTCACACTAAGAGCTTAATGGACTGTCACAGTACGAGTCCGTTGGCCTCCAACATAATCAAATTGAACCGTTGGAAGCGATACGCCTGAGGTGACAATCATTCAAAACATTTGCTTTTCAAATCCGTATCTGCATTTTGTAACAGAATTTGTGCATTTACGCCTGCCAAAAATACAATAATGTTGATACATTCTTAAGCAATACTATCTATCTATATATCTATCTATCACAGTCCATTCATCTATTTATCTATCTAACACAGTCTGTTCATCTATCTACCTATCTCAGTCTGTTCATATCTATCTATCTATCTATCTATCTATCTATCTATCTATCTATCTATCTATCTCAGTCTGTTCACCTATCTATCTATCTATCTATCTATCTAACAGTATGTTCATCTATCTCGCTATCTCAGGCTGTTCATATCTATCTATCTATCTGGTTTTCTCTCATTCAGACATGAAGACGCAGACTATTTCAAACACACACACACACACACACACACATATATATATATATATATATATATATATATATACACAAAGTGAAAAAGTTCTTGAGTGACGCGTTTCGATCTTTACAACTTCATCAGACAAAAGTTATTTTGTTGGTGAGACTACACATGCACACGAACGAAGGATTCTAGTTTTTTTTTTTTAAATGTTAAAAAAAATGTAAAGTTCTCAGTATCTCTCGTTCGTGGCAATAAAACAAATTTAGTCTGATGGAGTCCTAAGAGAGGAAACGCGTCACACTAAAGCCTTTTCCACTTTGGCATATATTTTCCCAATACTCTTCTTGATACATATATATATATCAATCCAATTGAATTGAGCTCCCTGGGCCAATGACGTATTTCACATAGAAAACGTTCAAATTTCCCTTCCTCTAGACTAGGGGTAGAATACCTGACTGATACCAAATCGGTCGGGTTTCGTATATCTAGCCACACTGAAGATCCAGCGAAAACAGTCTTTCTGTGGATGACAATATATGCTCTTGAGAAAAGTTTAATTTTGAAAACGCTGGCTCCTACCGCTGTTCAAACGAACCGAATTGAGCTCTCTGAGTCAGTGATGTATTTCGCATAGAAAACGTTAAAATTTCCCTTCCTTCGGAATCTCTGACTGATAACAAAATCAGTCGGGTCTCGATTCCGGCTTGAAGCAACCGGACATTTAGCCACACTGAAGAGCTGTGATACAGCGAAACAGTCTATCTGTGGTTGCCTATATATATATATATATATATATATATATATATATATATATATATATAATAAAAAAGAAATCATACATAGAATCAATCAGCAATATTAATGCGATTAATGGCGAAATCACTTCGCTCGTAGAACATAATATATGCATTAAAATACTGTTAATCCACTGAATGATGTCATCCTCATTTATAAAACTTTTGTCAGATATTTCTTTTTTTTATGTTAATACATAAAATGTATGCTGCCTAATATTAAATATATATATATATATATATATATATATATATATATATATATATATATATATATATATAAACTGAAAGCGGCCATGGTTAAAATGTAAGTGGTAGATTGGCCCAACAAAACACAATTGAGAAATTCTGCAATAAACAATAACAAAAGAACAAGCAAAAAAATAATATAAAAGAAGCAAATAATATATGCAAATAATATATTAACAGTAATAAGGCAAAGTAACAGGCATATGCCAAAAAGTTCACACATTAAGAATTGGTGTTGACACACAAGAGCAGATTCGGATTAAAGAAAACAGACTTCTGACCTCAAGACAAGCCTGACCGGGACTGAGTCTATTGAAACCGAGTACTGACCTATTTTATTGGCGAGGAAGATATCTCAGCCGGCATTTGTGTCGTTCTGTCTATTAAATGGGAAGTGGAAACTGCTTTGCAATCATTTCTTAAAACAAGGCTGAAACAAACAAGTTTATATATATATATGTATAAATGTGTCAATATCACTTAACTCACTCATGTCTTCTCTTTCTCCCCTCACTTCCTCACTTCGTTAATTTACATATGTTTAATACGGCTCGTCAAAAATGTGCAAATTTTCTCTTCATTTTTTGTTTGGAAGTAAAGTCTGATGATCCGCAGTATTTTTGAAAGGGTTGTGGTGAAATAATTTATTACATGGAACCTTAAAATTGGTCTGTTTTTATTTAATATATATATATATATATATATATATATATATATATATATATATATATTTGTTTGTGTGTGTGTGTGTGTGTGTGTGTAACAGGTTATTATTGCCACATCAGGATAAAATGATCTTTAACAAAGAGAACATATTTTATTCGTAAAAAAAGATACAACGGTATCACTGTGATTAAAAGTACCTTTAGCTACCTTTCAACTACTTCGTTTAACATGCTGACAATATCTTTTTTTCTGGGGATGTGCCTAAAATTTTTAGTCGCTCTGAATTTTCCTATTGTCTTTTACATATATATATATATATATATATATATATATATATATATATATATATATATATATATATGTGTGTGAAAATATATAGAAAATAGGAAGGAACTGGTTAGGTAAATAATCCAAAGTCCCTTAGTATTTTAGTTATTATTTTTTAAAAATAGTGCTCGATACAAAAGTAGAGCATAAATATAATTATTTATTTAAAATATGATTCCAAATCGCTACATAAGAGGTCTCATGTTTCAAAACTAGAGCCGAAAACTTCAATATAATCCTTTAAATTAAATTGAGTTGAAATTAAAATAGGCTCCGTTCCATCCTCAAGCGAAATGTTTGTTGGAATAACGTATATCTGAAATTTACTTGTTTTAAAATTGAAATCAAAATCCCCATGGTAACAGCTATGGTGAATTTTCTAAATTGGGTAGGCGAGTGTAGGGTGTTTCTATTAAGTTATATATATATATATATATATATATATATATATATATATATATCACCTTAGGTTTGTTGAATATATTTTTATCTTCTGAAGGGGTTTTCTTTTTAAAAATGATAATTTAAATTTAAATTTACCATTATTTAACTAGTAATAACAATATTGGCATATTTCCTTTAATAATATGTAACACTTCAAAAGTTACCTGAATTTAAACTTTAACTATGGAATCAAAATTAAATCTAAATAAATTTAAAATATTTAAATATAGATTATGATTATGAAATGTATATATAATTTATGTATGAAGATGAATGATATTTTGTGTATATTGTTACTCTGTGTGTATTTGTACTTATTAATGTGAGTATGTATGTATAAATTTATAGAAATAGATTTGTGAGAGATACATAAGAAAATAAAATCTTTAATATTACCCTCTAATACCATTAAATAATGAAACCTAAACCTTAATTAAACTTACCAATATAACAATAAATAAAAATTGCATTCACAAATTATTTTAGATATTAATATAGATGAATTCATTGTTAACGTAATTTTCTTCCTATATTGTGAATCACAATGTGTCGGGTAAATGAACTATTGCAATTTTAAATATTTCTTTAATATGTTCTCGATAAATAAATATATTTATTACAATAGTAGTTAACTTGTACTAAATCCCTAAACTAGTTAATTAAAAAATTAAATACTGAATTTAATATCTTCCAATTTTTTACACACCTAATTTTCTATCAAACATTGTAATCTATCTTTTACATAATTTTGTTAAAACAAAATTACAACTTCTTTCGATTCACTTCCGTCTCCCCCTCCCTCTTTACCATAAAAATCTTTTGAATACGTCTGGCTTTTTTCTCCTTTTTCTCTCTTTCGATTCACTTTCCTCTCCTCCTCTCTCTTTGCCATAAAACCTTTTTTTGAATACGTCTGGGCCTTTTTCCTCTTTTTCTCTCTTTCGATTCACTTGCCTCTCCCCCTCCCTCTTTGCAATAAAACTCTTTTGGATACGTTTGCTTTTTTTCCACTTTTTTCTTTCTTTTTCCCTTTACTTTATTTCCTTTCCTCACTATTCCTATATATCACTTCCTTTTTTTTTTTTACCATAAATAGGTCAAGGTTAGGTCACTCCTTCTACCCCAATTTAAGGCTTATTTAAGAGAGATGTAAATTTAACCCTCACTATATTTTTTGTATTGTCTCTGTAACCGCCACCTTCACCCTCCCTGTTTAATTACAAAAAATTACACTACCCATCAATTTCTAATCACATTTTTCCTCCCATTGCATTGTTGGAAGTGTTACCTGATGATCCGAAATCCTTTAAAAAGGATTTTGGTGAAATAAATTATTGTAATGGTACCTTAAAGTGTCTGTTGTTCATTAAATATATATATATATATATATATATATATATATATATATATATATATATATATATATATATATATATATATATATATATATATATATAATCCAGCGTCTTATATACACGGGGTTATCGTTGCTTGAAATCATCCATGTAAACAGAAACAGACTATCATCACTGTCTTGTCCGTATATTGCTTAATATATTGTACAGTAATTGTCATCTTTGATAATAGCTTATGTAAGCCGAAAGCTTAGATTGGATTAAAAAATATGTATCAACATTGTGATTTTCTTTCTTCGTTTAATGATAATGTTATTAAAAAATCAGACGTTATGAAAAGAATTTACATAAAATAAATAGACAACACTTGTCTATATTACTTAATGAAACATGTATGAATGAAAAAATGCTGCCTAAATACATATCTATCTATCTATCTATCTATCTATCTATCTATCTCCAGTTGGTACAGATTGTATAATGCTGAAAATCGTTCCTTGCTGGTTTTTTCGTTTCCCGCTCAGCGTTTTGTCATTGCCACTTGATACGTTGGTTTAAACTTCCGAGAATTTAATTAACCTTTTATTTTCGGGCTTATGACCAAATAGTTGAAAGTTCTTTCGTTTTCACTGTCAGTTCCGTTTTGTGACGCCTTACCACCAAAGTTTGATGTTACTGGAAAATATTAATCCGGTGCAGTGTTTTTTCAGGAATGGTGTTTCTGACCCCATAACATGGCTAGCCTTATGGTAACTATCTGTTATATGTTTTATTTGCCGTACAACCCTTGACTTGACCATTTTTTATTGCTTTCATTGCTCCTCAGAGAATCTATTCCGACCATAGCGACCTTCAGCAGTGCGGTTTTGTGAGTATCGATCCGATGAACAGAAAGTAAAACTAAAAAAAGCAACAGAAATAAAAATGAAGTCTTTGATAAAAAAAAATCCGCCCACATTGACGCTTATTGATCAAATAAATCAGCTGTTTACAAGCAATTTCAGTTTAGATTTTAAATTGTTAAATGCTAAAGGAGGCTACATCATAGAACATAAATGTTATCTCTATATCAAATATTGTAGAAGTAATCCTGGCACTGTATTGTATTTGTCTCGTTCTTTTTTAACATTTCACCCTAGGTAAGATGACAATGCCACTAAGACGTTGGGGT